ATATATATATATATATATATATATTGCATATGTATATATATATATATATATATATATATATATATATATATATATATATATATATGCATGTATATGTGCATAGATAGATAGATAGATAAATAGATAATCAGAGAGAGAGAAACAGATATCTGGATATAGATTCAGATAGATAGAGAGATAGATAAACACAGATGTGTAGGTGCGTATGTTTGTGTGTGCTGAGACGAATAACACAGACAAAAAAATGATAATTATAATAATCAACCAGTAAATTTTACTTTTTTATTAATCTTTTTAAGAAATTATATAAAAAGGTTCAAGACATTTTTCAAAAATATTACTTCTCGATGACTCGGAAAAGACAAGTTTCACGTTAAAAAAAATAATGTTGTTAAAAGAACTTTAAATTAAATAATATGATAATCAAGCCGATATTAATCTTTGAAACGGAAATAGAGTTACTTCGGACTAATTATTTCTTAGTGACACAGATTTTAATGAAGATAATGAGGACACTGAGCTTATTGATTGATATGTACAGTTTGTGTTGATTGTGGTGATTATGTCAATAAAAATGATAATTATGACGACAGTGAAAATAAGGAAAAAATAGTAATAAAAATGGTAATGATATTAAAAAATGATAGTTATAATAAAGATGATAATTCCAATAACGATAGTAGTGGTGATCATAATCATAATTCATATTCATATTAAAAAGTAATAATAATAATGATAATAACAATAACTATAACAATGATGATATTGTTAATGATATTAACAGTAATGATATCAATGATGATGATAATCATTATGTCAATCACCAAAATGAAGATGGTAATAATAACAATGATAATGATAAATATGATAATAGAAGTAATAATAAAAATAATAATAATGATAAGAGTATTACTAATAAAGATAATTATAAAAACAACAATGATAATGGTAATAATAGTAATTAAGATAATAATAATGATAATGATGATAATGATAATAATATATATAACAGTAATAATAATGATAATAATAATGATAAATAAAATGATACCATATAATGATAATAACAATAATATTAATAGTAAATAATAATCATATATTAATAATAGTAATGATAATAACAATATTATGATTATGATTACAATTATAGTAATGAAACTAATAACCATAACAATAACAATATTAGCGCTGATAAAGATATAAATAATAATGATGATGATGATAATGATGATAATGTTAATAATAACAACAATGATAATAATGATAATAATAATAATAATAATAAAAATAATGATAATATTATTATTAATAATAATGATAATAATGACAATAATAGTAATAATAATAACAATAATAATAATGATAATAATAATGATAATGATAATAAAAATAATAATAATAATAATAATAATAATAATAATAATAATAATAATAATAATAATAATAAATAATAATATAATAATAATAATAATAATAATAATAATAATATAATAATAATAACAATAACAATAATAACAATGATAACAATAAAAATAATAATCATGGTAAAAACAATAATAATAACAATAATAACACTACTAATAATAACGATAATGATATTCATAATGACAATAAAAATAGTAATAACAGTGATAATGATAATACTAATTATGATAGTAATCATCACTACCATTATTATAATCATTACTATTACTAGTCATTGTTATTCTTATCATTATCATTTTTATCATTATCATTTTCATTGTCAATATGACCATTATTATTATTTATTATTATTTTCGTTATTATCATTATTATTATCATCATTGTTATCATCATGGTTATTATTATTGCTGTTGTTGCTGTTAGTATCATTACTATTGTTATTACTATCATAATTACTATTTTCATAATCACTATTTTATTACGATTCTTATCATCAGTAGTTCTATTATCGTATTATTATTGCTATCATTTCTGTATTATTGATATCATTATCATTATCATCACCATTATCGTTGTAACCATCATTATAAGTTAACTACTGATAACAACAATGATAATCATAACCATATCAATATCAATAATAATGATAATAACAACTAAAAGCACTCAGATAGCGCATACCTCCGCCAAGGCAATAAGGTCACTGATGCAATAAAATTATTCACATCTAAAGACTACTATTAATTAAAATCACCTTTCTCAGTCTAAGAATTTCTCAAATTCACCTTTCTCATTATGCAATCAATCAAAAAATTCTGCATCCGGATTACAACCCAAATTTTATGGAATCGAAGTTAGGCTAAGACATAACCCTGGTCAAGTTTTCATAAACTATTCAAAACTTTTTTGGGTTATCCTGCTAACAAACAAACAAACAATATCCGGATCCGCACCCAAATTTGATGGCATCTGAGTTACGGTAAGACAATCCTCTGGTAAAATTTTTCAAAAATATCTATTAATAATTTTGTGAGTTATCTACTAACCTTCGCTCAAACAAACACACTAACTAACTAATTAACTAACTAACTAACTAACTATAACTAACGAACGCGACCAAAAACATAACCTCTTTGGCGGAGATGATGATAATAGAAATACTACTAGTAATAGTGAGAATAATAACGATAATTATAGTAATGATGAAAGAAACAGTAATAATGAAAATAATATTAGTGACAACAATAATAATGATGACATTGATTATGATTTTGATAATGATGATGATGATAATAGTAATAATAGTGATAATAATAACAAAATACTAATAATAATAGTAGTAGTAGTAATGATGATAATCACGATAAGAATAGAACATGAAAATGATAACGATAATAGTGATAATGATGACAATGATAATAATGATAATGATGATGGTAATAATAATAAAATTACCCATACCAATAATAGTAATAGTAATAACTACAAAAGTTATAATAACAATAAAGGCAATGAGGATAATTATCAATATCATTACTACTCTTATTATCATTATCATTATTATCATCATTATCATTTTCATTATTACTACTACAACAACAATGATAATTCTACTACTAATAGTAGTAGTAATAATAATAATAGTTTATATGATTATCATTTTTATCATCATTGTCATTTCTATTATCAAAATAATTATGACAATAATGATAAAGATAAAGATGAAATGAAATTATGTTGATGTTACTAATAAAGATAATAATAATAATAATAATAATAATAATAAATAATAATAATAATAATAAATGATAATAATAATAATAATTAATAGTAATAAAATAATAACAACAATAATAGTGATAATAATAATAATAATAATAATAATATAATAATAATATTAATATATTAATAATAATGATATAACAATGATGATATATGATAATAATGATAATTAATGATAATAATAATAATAATAATAATAATAATAATAATAATAATAATAATAATAATAATAACAATGATAGTGAAAATTATGATAATAATAATAACAACAATAAATAATACAACGATAATGATGATAATGATCATAGTAATGAGACGTTAACAATAACTATAATAATGATAGTAATGATAAAACAATAAGAATAAAAATGATAATAATGATATTATGATAATAATAATAATTGATAATAATAATAATAACAACAAATAGTAATATATAATGATAATAATAATAATAATAATAGTAGTAGTAACAACAATAATATGATAATAATAATAATAATTATCATTATTATACTATTATTATGATAAATAAAAGTAATAATGATAAATAATAATATAATGATAATGATAACAATGATAATAATGATAAAAATCAATAATACAACAAAACAGCAACAACAATAATAGTGATAATGATAATGATAATAATAATCATAATAATAATTAAAAAAAATAATAATAATAATGATAATAATAATAATGATAGTAATAACAGTACCAATTAGAATAACAATAATAACGATAATGATAATAGTGATACTGATGATAATTTTCATAATAATGATAATAAGAATAACAACAATGGTAAGAAGAATAACAAAAAATAGTAATAACAAACACAATAATAATGACAATAGCAATAACAAAAATGATAATGATAATAACGATAGTAGTGATAATGAAAATGATGATAATACTAATGATTATAATATAATAATGATAATAATAACAACAAAATTGATAATAATGATAACAATGATAATAATACTATAAGAGTAGATCTAGTAGTAATGATAATAACAGCAATTTTATAATAATAATGATGATAATAATAATTAGTGATAATAATAATAATAATAATAATAATAATAATAATGATGATAATAGTGATGATAAACATAATGATGATAACTACAGCAATAATGATATCAATAATAACAAATGGAAATAAGATCAATAATAATATTAATGATAATAATGATAGTTAAGATGATAACAATGATAATGGCAAATAAATAACATACATGCATACATATATATATATATATATATATATATATATATATATATATATATATATATATATATATATATATATTTCATATGTGTATGTGTATATATTTGTGTGTGTTTATGTGTGTGTGTGCATATAAAGTACTCAAAACCGTAACTGTAGCTTCATCGCAACTGCAGTGTCTCACTCTTTCCACTTTATCTGTTCATTCACTAAAACGCCTGAATGTTTGATATAAATAAATACAGACATCACGAAACATTAATCTCTCCCCGCACCCGCGCCGTGAGACCCGCGACGCCGCTGGAAACTCATCTCTTTCTCGCGAGGCGTCAGCGGCCTTCCTCGCCCTGTCCAACGCAAGTCACACGAGGATTTCTCACTGCGCTCGACTCCACAGTCCATGCGCTCGCTCATGCGCCGCCGCATCTTCCTGCGTCCTCAGAGCGCATGCGTCACTTTTCCGAAGGGTCGGCGTCTTCGAACCGGACTCACGGGGCACTCGGAGCGCCGGCCGGTCTCGAGGGTCACTCAGAGAGCCATTCGGACTCGCGCCGCTCAGAGCGCCATGTGGCGCTTCATGTGGAGGCTGAGGTGGTCGGAGCGCGAGAAGGCGCGCTCGCACAGGCGGCACTGGAAGGGCCGGTCGCCCGTGTGCTTGCGGTAGTGGCGCGTGAGCTCGTCGGAGCGCGCGAAGCGCCAGCCGCAGCCCTTCCAGTCGCACGTGTACGGCTTCTCGCCCGTGTGCGTGCGCAGGTGCGCCTTCAGGTGCGACGACTTGGCGTAGATCTTGGCGCAGCCCGAGTGGGGGCACGTGTGCACGATCGACTTCCGCCGCGTCCAGCGCCGTCTCCGCCGCGCCTTCATGGGGTCGTGAGGGCGGGCGGCGCGACGCCCGGGGGCGGCAGGACGCCCTGCGGGACGGGGGGGCGGCGCGACGGCCCCGCGGGCGAGGCGCCGATCCCCGGATAGCCCGGATAGGGATACTGGGGGCCGCCCTGGATGTAGACGGAGCGGGCGTAGATGTTGTAGTGCTGGTCGCCGCCGTAGGTGCTGCCCTCGCCGCTCTGGTAGGCCGCGCCCCACGCCCCATGGGCCCCCCCGCCCCCTGGTACTGCTGGTGCTGCTGCTGGGACGCGGCGGAGTGCTGCAGGGAGTACTGCTGCCCCGCCATCTGCTGGTAGGGCGCCTGCTGGTGCTGCATCGCGGGGAAGCCGGCCAGCCCCGCCTGGAAGGACGACGCCGCCTGCTGGTGCTGCTGCAGCTGCTGGTGGAACAGCGGCAGGTTGGCGTTGTAGTCATGGCGCGGCGTGCAGGAGGTGGTGGGCGTGGCCGAGCCAGGAACGCCCTCGGGCACGTACGGCGCCTCCAGCTTGATACGCCCTTCGGCGGGTCCAGCGACCTCCTTCGCCGGCGCCGCGGCCGAGGCCTGCGCCACGGCGCTGAAGGGCGCCCTCCCGAAGTCGCCGTGCGGAGAGAAGGCTCCGCGCGCCTTGTCCGCCTCCGCCGCCGCCAGGCGGTTGTACGTCATGGGCGCCCCGTCGCCCCCGCAGCCGCCCTCCTTCCCGACGTGGGGCGACGCGGGGGTCGAGCCGCCCTTCTTCTGGTCCACGAAGAAGGGGCTGGGCGGGTGCGCCTCCCCCAGGTGGCTCTGCATCTCGCTCCGGCAGAGGAGCTCGAAGGCGCCGGCGGGCTCCGCGAGGGCCATGTCGTGGTGCCAGGACGGAGCGACCGATGTTGGGGGCGGCGGCGGGGGTGCCGGAGGGGGCTGCCGCTCCCCGTGGATGCCTGCGGCGGTCGCGTGCGGCTGGTGAGCATACTGCGGCTGAGGCGAGCGCGGGTCGAGGTGGAGGCCGGACGGGGCGCCGCCGTGGAGGCTCGGGGAGGCGGCGTGGAGGCCGGCGGCCGTCGAGTGGAGGCTGGAGGACCAAGAGGACTCCGACGCGTAGACGCTCCCTCCGGGCCACACCTGGGGAAGGCGAGGAAGGCATTAGTGGCGCGGGGGAGGTTGGAAGGCGCATGGAAATGCACTGCTCACGGGGGGGGGGGGGGGTTATATGCATGCATGCTCTCGAAAGTGTGAAGAGGGACATGAGCTCGAGATGAAAGATATGAGTATTGCTATAAACACATCCATACACTTCTAAAGTCCTATAATTTCACTACTGGTCAATATGCAATTATGTATTTTTTAAAATCATAGTTCCACATATGATTAATTACGATAATTGATATATACATACACATACACAGACATACACACACACACACACAACAGAAGACGGAAGTAATTCGTCGAAAATGAGCAACAGCATATTATCAAGCTCCTTGGCGCGCAATGGCGATAAACAAGATGGAATGCTCTGCACATTATTGTTTCACCTTTACCCAGACCGCCTCAGTGGCCTTCTACGAGGAAGCAACATGGCTGGAAAACGTGCCATCCATATTGTCTCTGATAACGATTTCGTGATGTTCGTCCTCGTCTGCTAAATCTTTGCAACATGTTATTGAGATTTTCCTTAATGTAACCTTAATGATAAATAACACCTCTTCTACCAGTAAGAGAGAAAAATAAAAGATTTTTCTTAATGTACCCAACGCGGATGAAAATAACACCTTTTCCACCAGACAGAGAGAAAAAAAAAACTTTCCTTCACATAATTAATGCATTTTTCATAACATGTCTCTAATACGAAGCAAACAGCAATGCTTCGCGAGATTCGAAATGAGGATTCGAACGGGAAGCTCATGTAGTTGAGTTGCCGCGATGATTTTTTTAACTGAAACGCGTTCTTACTTATGAACAACTGAACATCACAAGCAAATTACGTGTTAGTATCCTCGAATAAGCCTAAATAATGCGGTAAAGAAGTATTATCCAGAGGTGTTCCAACGTAGCTAAACCTATCTACGCTGTTTCGCATGTTTTAAAAGTTCAACGATGAATTTCGTATAATGTGCGGTATCAGACTGAAATGACAAAAATCAGAATAAATGAGTAAGAAGAGAAAATGCGAATAAATAAATGGATAATGACACAAATCAATAAAATA